CCCCCCCCCCCCCCCCCCGCTCTCCTACCATCTTTTCTGTCCAATCTAAACATTGGACTAAAGCCTGGTATACATAATAAATCACCAGAAATACTCTGATTTAACCAAGTTTCAGAAACAGCAAAAATATCTAGTTTGTGTTCGATAACAAGAGGCGAAATATCGAAAAATTACGTGGACCGGGGTTAATTTCAACATCTCCAGACAATAGAATTAACAAAACTAAATAAGCTAAGTGGCATACCGCCACCTTATCTTCAATACATAAAAATTGACTAATAAGAGTCCAAATAGCTGCTCTATGCATTATCAAACTAGGCTCCATTGGGATTAAAATACCAATATAAACTTACCTCGGGCTGCTCAATAGTTAAACAATTAGATACAAGAAAAATAAACACAATAAAGGACAAAGTTATGAAAAAGCACTCATAACTAACAAAGTATAATGAAATTGAGTAAAAGGTAAAGGAAGGAGATTATCGATCATGAATATGTACTCAAGTCCTCTTTCTGCTTAATAATAGAAATTGTACCATCATATTTTCTCTTAACAAAGATATGGCCATCAGAGGTATAGACCGAAGCTGTATCACGGCACTTTTCTTTCGCATACATCAAAAATTGCTGGTTGATTCTTGTTAAATCTTCATTCACATACAAAGATTTCCCCCGCAGCCTACGCTTGTTTTTAAATATTGATAGCTTGCTGTGAAAGCTTTTAAGCTTGATAATAATAGCACGAGGACGGCCATCGTCGTGTTGGGGTTTACCGAGTCGGTGCATGAGCACGATCAATTTCATTTCGCTCGATTGCCACTCCCAAATCGCGATCACAAAATTTCACAACTTCATCGTAGCAGTCCTCTGTTTCTTTCTCAATAATACCATAGAAACGTAGATTGTTTCGGCGAGAGTACTGCTCATTTTCATTCGCTTTAGTATCGACTTCACCCAACTTTCGATGCAGCTCTGTCAATTCACGTTTTAAGCGAGTATTCGTGTCCTCGAGCGCTTTCATTCTAACATCGATTAGTTCAACGAATTCGTTCTTAAAACACTTGATAGCCGCTTCGACTGTGACATTAATTGCTGTAGAAAGAATTGCTCTAAAATCATCTGATTTCATAAAAGCTTTTATCTTTTGATCAAGATTGACATGACACCCTTCGCCTTCGACTTTCGAGCTTGAGCGAGTCTTTGACATGATATCAAGGCGTAATAAATTATCAGCGATCAATTTCAAAGGACTTCACATAAATTCAAAGTAGTTCCACAACCTTTCACTCAAAGGTTACATATAAATTTTAAATATATCAGTATTTGTAAACTTATAAACGGAGCTCAAAATCGATATTGTTGAAATAGGTTTCAAGTTCTGTCCTTGCCAGTTTCCCTCTTTTTCGTCTTATGTTTGTTGCAACTCTATGTGCCTGTTTCCATCTTTTCATGAAGTTACTAGCCCAGTCATCTCCTGGTATATTATTTTTGAATTGACGTATGACCCTCTTTTGCTTGGTACGATATGCATGCAGCTACCATCATTCGTAAATTAATCTTGTCCAAGGGGAACCCCCAATCGCACATGCTTACTCGGGAAACAAATATCTCTTCTTCTTCATGGTTAAATATGGTTTGACCACCAATTGATTCTCTGTGCTTGCCTTCTATTGTGTTTTTATGGTTGTGCGAGGGATGTTATAAAGAGCTGCTGCTTTTCGAATAGATAGTTTTCCACTAGTGACATATTCTAAACAAGTTCCCAGATCTTGAGCAGAATATGCTTGATACGTTCGTTTACCTCTTTACCTTGAAATATACTGTGGGGTGAAATTTCATTCGAATTTTGTGCAGACCATTACTTCAATAAGAAATATTACATTTTATTAAAAATGAACAGATACTTTCTCACTAAAAATGTGCGGTATCTCTTTACTAAACCTCTTAAAACGCTGCTGCGCGCGCAGGTTAACGCGAGGAGACCGGGCGAATCTCCAAAATTACTATACGTAAGAGGATTTTTCCCTGAATGGAGAATATTTTGCTTCTATTTCTTTTTATACGAATTTTCTACAGGAAAATGCAGCTATGTAAAGATAAAGCCCTGTTCTTCGCTCATTGAGTGAATGGGTGTCATATTTCAACTTTTCAGTTCAAGAATTCTCTTTAAAAAAATTAGTATTTTTTTAGAATGGAAATTTTCTTTGAAAAAGGAAAAAATCGTGCGTGGAAGTTGAACGGAAGGATATTTTTATTGATCACACTGCCAGGTGATCTCGTGTTCGTATTTTAGCCAATCAGCGCTCAGAAGCGTTGTCCGAATAGAAATCCATTTTGATGTATTCAGTTAATTATATCTTTCGTTATTCTTTATGAAACTAGTTAAAATTTTGTAATTATGTTTAGTTATGAGAACTATAGCTCTGACAAAAATATGGAATCGAAATAAAGTATATTACAGGAGATATGCAGTTGTTTTAATCATAAAATGGATTTCTATTTGACAACTAGTGCCAGTACTTTTCCGCGTATCAAGATCATCTGGCCTGTGGAAACACGAAACGCGGCAATTCCATGACCAAATCGCGCCAACAACGTTCATGGCCACGATGTAAATTTACATAAAACTAGAATATATCTGCAAATTTAAGGAAGATATCAGAAACACAATCCAACAAACTGTGAGGGACGAACTGTCAAAAGTTCTGTCAAGTAATAAAGATACGGGTGAATGCAGTAGTTCAGAAACTTCGCAATGTACGCCGAAAAGTTCTCTCTGACAGTCGTATGCCGTGGTATACCTTTGCAAAAAAGCACAATGTTCTTGTATTCGAACCTTTTATAAAAATAGTATTCAATTATCTCGCTTTCCAATCCAGAACTAGGTAAACCTTCCCTATCAAAGTTGTTTAAACAGTTCAAATCTTCGTCTTCCGCCATTTTGTTTTGAAAGATTCGCCCCAGTCTCGTCGCGTTAACTGACCTGCACGCGCAGCGTTTTAAGAGGTTTAGTAAAGACATGCTGCACATTTTTAGTGACAAAGTAATGCTCTACACAGAATTCGAATGAAAGTGGTAGTACAAAATAATATTTGAGCTATTTATCTTTAAAAGTGATGCCCCTTCTGGGCCACCGTAGAAATTGACAACTTTAAAAACGCATTTTCAACAACAAGAAACTCGAAAAAGCATACCAAACAGTGTCAAAATGATTTAAACATAAAAAAAATTATATTTATTGTACCTGAAATTGTTTTCGTACCTTGCTTTTTCTCCGCGTCAACCTTCCAGGCAGTTTTTTCCAAAAAGAGGTAGAGTCAAACACGTGCTTTTACCAAATGCATCATGGGAAATTTCAATATGATAGCCGCCAGTAATTAAAACATTTTTTATGTGGTCAAAATCACCCCAAAAAGTACAAAATTTGTGGGTTGACTTTGACCACCTACTTTTTCTCACTGAACAACAAAATTAAAGTGACCGCCGAACAGCATTTATTTATATTTAATTCAATTTACATTCTATATTTCTGGTATCTTTAAAATCATTCAAATCGATTTATAGAAGATTGAAATTCAGAGTTTCAAAATTCAGGGTATTTTTAGTCGATTCAACGGATGGTCATAGATCGTGCACTGTATCCCGCTGGATACATTGTAAGAATGCTAACCACAACATTTAAAATACGTCCAAAACAAGTCATGCTTTACAAAAATAACAAATATTTGCAATGGAAGTTCCTCCAATCAAATATATCAGGCATTAAATAAAAAAAATTATAAAGTGACCAAAGTCACCCTATATTAAAAGTCACCCCAGTTTTTAGCATTATGTGTTGAAAAAATGTTTAAGCTCTCTCCATTAATATTGTTTGGTTGTAATTTACTATATTTGTTTAACCAGGAGATTGGAATTTCAATGTAGTCTGCAAACCCAGAGTCATTTCCCATGTTCAAGGATGCCTGGGCTAGCTCAGAGAGTAAAAGGAATGGAAATTTGGGATGAAGGCTTTGATATTTTGAACAGTAGGAATTTTCAGTATGAGAATTTTCTGATATTGGTACAATTACCCATTTCCCAAAGTCCTGGGTCTAGTCGCGCAAATCCCATGTTGGAGGGACAAGAAATATGGCAGCACATATTTAAATTAAAAGTTTAATGTAAAAAGAACAGCTGGGAAATTTGTTGCGCATGCGCCAGATTTCCATTGAAACTTGAAGATTTTCCCGAAGAAATATTACGAGATGTTCGTGGTTGTTGTATATTTTTTAATGCCTGTTTAATCTTTATACTTTTTTTTCTTGAGACAAAGACAAAGTAAAATATACTCTACGTTTCCAGTGTATAGAATATCTCGTTTGAACAACAATTGAAGCAACATTTGACACGCTAAATCTGTAGTCATGCCTGACGGAGGTATAGTAAAAGCCAATCGTCGCGAGCTTGACAGCCTTGTCAAACGCAAAACAAGTACAAATTTGGGTTCAAACAGAAAGAAGTTCAATGTTAATACAACTAGCATATATTCTATACAAATACGGGTGGTTTAAAATGTTTTCAATTGAATTTTCAAAGTTTTTATCTATCGTTATCACGCTATGATAATCAAACTGTGAACTTGATGCCGCAGTTTTGTTAACGCTTGCCGAATGCAAAATAACTTCCCGTAAACAGAGCATTTCTACACAAAACTCTCGCTTAGTCTTCTGATGCACTTGTACGTTCGGTTGTACTAGTTAAACAAGGAAAATATTCAAGAAACACTGGTAAATTATCGTTGTCAAAAAACATTTCTGTGCTGAGGCGGTACACTACAAGGTCTCAAGGGCAAGGGCAAGTTGTCGATTTCATTACATTTTACAGTACTTCGGAATGTTTTCGAACTCTTGCTTCATACAAGAGCAGTAAACGCACGCATTTCAAAGCGAAATTAGACCCAAAGGGGCAATTTTTCAACAAAATACATTGTTAAATTATGTTTCCTATGTGCCTTGGGAGCAAAAAAATATGATTTTAAATTTGGAGGAATCGGTAAATTTTTTTGCAATTTGGCCTGGTATTGCACCCTACCTATGTAATGACTGTGCTGTAAAAGTAATCAAATATACCATTTTAAATTTCCCTTCATTGAAAGGATCTACTATTGTGGACTAAACTAAATTTTAATCAGCATACAAGGCTGCAAACAACAGCCAAGAATTAGCTGGGTAGTTTGCAAACTTTAAAAATAATTGGACCTCAAACTTTGATCCCCAAAAGTAAACAAATGGCCAGTACTGCGAACATAATCCAAGTTTTGACCACTAGGGGCAATTTTTAGATGTAAAAAAACTTGTTGAAATTACATATCAAACAAAGGCAAAACAAAATTTGGTATTAATTTTTTGGAGGAAACGTCAAGGTTTTTTTGCTATCCGCGCACGCTTCTACACCCCCTCCCCCAGGACCTTCCATATCAGAAAACAGTTTTCTGCAGAAACCATGCTTTTTTGTCGGGAAAATTTTTACTTTTCTCAAAAAAATACTTTAGAAACACGGAAACCTTAAATATTTAAATAATTTTCATACCTTTTCGAGATTGCAAAAAGCAAAATTTGATTCATTATCACACTTTTTAAAATATATGTGACAAAGTTGCTTCGAAATCACTACCACGCAGTAGCATGTTTATTTACCCTCAACCTTTTGACTAAATAAAGTTTATCTTTTTGAAAAGCTATTTGTTTTATAGCTCTTGGTTAGAAGTTTACGTTTATGTCGATTTTGCCACCCATGAGGTCAACAAGTTATGGTAATCTGCGAATGAAAACTAATATTCGAAAAGCACAAAAGCCAACTCCTAGCTATGTAACTTTATCGCCTAAATTTTGAATCAATCCACAATTAAATTTTTGGTAATGTAGATGCTTTCAATACTTGAGATGTTAGTGAAGTTTTTCCAACAATTTAATTTCCTTGATCGCCGTCTTAAAAATGCAAAATCATCAGTTGAAATTTCACTCGTGTTGTTTTTTCAAATTTTCCAATTTTTGTAAAATATCGCGTGCGCCAGCAATTTTTCTGCACAGCGACAACAAATTTCCCAGCTGTTTGTAAAAAGGAGATAATTCATTTTTTGTTGTCTAAAAAGTTGATATTTGATAGTAGATACTTCTACTCTTTCACATGTTTGACGCCTGTCACTGAGTGTCACCATATATTTTGTCCCTCCAAACGATCCCAGAATGCACTGTGATCTCTTTTGAGAAAAGGCTAATTGAATAACTTGAAAAGTGGAAACACCGTTTACGATAATTTCGAAGCTGTACGTTGACGTTATTTTTAAGACGAAATGTCTACTTTTTTTACTTTACATTTGAGTAAAACAAAAATGAAACGACTGAAAAACTGATACCGATAAACCGATGTTGGTTTCAATACCAATATTTTCGGTATATCGGTATACTCAACATTCCTATTGAACAGCAATCAGCATTTCACCCAAAATCATGACAAAAAGAAGGATAATTTCCCTTTATGGGGGAATATCTTGAGGATGATGTTTTAAGTAATATGTATTAAACACCTGTTTGCTGTTGCAGAACACAACTTGAATGAATAGAATTCTTCTGAACCAATGGAAAGACTATAATTACAAAATATGATCAAATATTATATCATACAGCTCAATTATGTAATACTCGAAAATCAAATCATTATAAATTTTGGTGGCTAACACAAGTTGCGAACAGTGAAATCTTCATATCAACTTAACACATCAATGAGTAGTTACGCCTGCACATTACGATATTATGGAGAACTTTGCAGGTATATGTCTACTAGTGTTAACATATGAAACATGATGATTGTCATAACCACATGATAGAGCACACTGCACTAAAGCCTTTTATTAAAATATACTGTCTGAGATAGTTCAGATGTACCGTACAAGTGTTTTTACTAACTTAATTGTGTTTCCAATTTAAGGAGTCAAGAGGCTTAATTTTTTCCTGTTCTTCATGCCTTAAGGTGGCTCGATATAGTTATCACAAAAATCCTGCCAAAGAATCGCGAACAAAACCGAGTGACCATTTTTACGTGCAGGTCGCGGAAACTGATTAACGAAATCAGGGTGCTATAAACGAAATGAAAGAACTTCCAAAATGACCTGACGCGAGCAGTTGCTCGCGCCATCTCACGTCATTGCGCGTGTTCTATAGCGTTTTATCACAGAGAAGAGATAGTACAGAGAGGAAACACGCGGAAAATTGTGTCACGCCGATATATTCAGTCTATTAACTATAGAAAATTATATTAATTCACTATTTTATCAAATTTTGACCATGCAGGGGAAAAAACTATACGTATTATGGAAGTATTCATGTTTTTTTATGCAAGAGTTATATTTTGAGGAATTTATATCATTTGCTGCTTTGTTTTTTTATATATGAGTATCTGAAACTCCAGCCAGTGCTTCTCACGATTTTAATAAGGAGTAGATAGGGAAAAAAACAAACTTTTGCAAAATAAAATGTTATGTTAACACTTTTAATAAAAAGAAATCAATGAAAGTGATCGCTTACCGTTATTCTACAATAATTTATTGAACAAAACTTCCATGGGTATCTCATTTTTTTAGAAAAAGCGATTTTCACCTTTCGAACGGCGTTTTTCCCTATCTTTTGCTATGAAATTTCAGCGACGGCACTGGCTGGAAGATTTTGCGTGGCGCGTGGAAAGTGCGTGGAACGCGTGACACAAAAATTCAGGTTATCGAGGTGTCTGTTTCCTCTCTGTATATCTCTTCCCTGTGGTTTTATGTACTTTCCATTTTAGAAAAACATTAAACAATGCACTATATCTCTCTATTTTGTCTGGTGACCTATGTTCGAAATTTGCATGCTATATTGCAGAGCTAAAAACTTTGTGTAATGCCAAAACGTCATTTTCGCATTTTCCAAAAAATGGCATTACAGAATTTTTTATATTTTGCGAATTGTTAGCTTTTCTTCCAAGTAAAATAATGCACGAAAAAAAATTGGGGGTTACCATACTTCTTTTCCAACTATACGAGACGATAGGCCATTTTCGAGTGAATTTCATACACGTATGTCGTCATAGCAACGAACTATCTGTTACTAAAACCAATATAATTTGAAAGTAGAGATAGCAAAAGATATAAAAACCTCAATATCTGCTGAATAAATTCTAAAATACATAGTATGAACATGCCAAAGTGTTGAACACATGATTTTTTTTAAAAATGTATCCAGCCACCTTAAAACCAAATCAAATTATTTATTTTTAAAAAAATTGGTGTCTAACAGGCGACAGTGAAATCTTCATATCAACTTAATGTACCAGGCAATTCCAACTGCAATCATCCCCCCTCCGGGCCAACTCCCGGGATTTGACCAGAGTTTAATCCCACACAGGTGGGAATTTGATGCGAACCTGAGCCCGCCCCATCGGGCATTTGATCATTGAAATGAATATAACTGGAATGTTATCTCCAACAGGAAATTTGAAGCCAAACTTGAAAGCCAGTCCCAGTCTTTCACAAATGGGGAGAGCGTTCAATCAGTCAATCATGATATGAACATGTGTGATCTTACCTCCAGACACGCATGGATGAAAGTAATATTTGGCTTCAAGAAAAAGATAGGCAGTATGTTTATCTGAAGGTAGCATTCCAATTATATTCATTTCAATGCATTTGACTTGGCTGCTGTCGCACAAAATTTGTCAGCGGTTGCACACAAAAAATCGTAATCATCTTTAATAAAGCTTTCCACAGGCGGCCCAGACGCGTATCAGTGTATAGTAAATATATCATTATAAAATATACTAAACAATAAAATTTGTAATGAATTTTATATTTTAATATCATATTTACTTGCCTACTTTGATTGTATGTGATCGTCTTTTATTTCTGAGCGACTTTACATTTGATGCCTGCGACTGTCTTCATAGGTGATAGTATTGAAAGCAAAGGCTAACGATTCCAGTTCTCAAACAGCCGACACGAACAATTCAAATCGAAAAATATCCCCTTCAAATTGCTTTGTTCCCGGTAAAACTTCGCCAGCGTATAGAATAAACACCCATCTTCGAACATACAAGGCAATATTAACACGTCCTGTAATTTTTGCAATGGATTTTTAGCGAAATGTTTCGAGACTAAAATTCTATGGAACTTAGAAAGACCGATAATTACTACGGCGCCTGCTTGGCCACCTAGCCTCCTATACCGTTTGGATTGTCAGGGGGGGATTCAAATAAAAAAACACCTATTTCCGGCAACAGCCAGCCAATCAACGCCGCGATACAGACTGTTTACAATATTTGAAATCTGATATTGCAATTTATCAACAGCAAAACTCTTTCGATCGTATACAGCTCTCTTTCTATTTTATACTATACGATCAATCGATCGAAAGAGTTTTGTTGTTGATAAATTGCAATATCAGATTTCAAATATTGTAAACAGTCGGTATTGCGGCGTTGTTTGGCTGGCTGTTCCCGAAAATAGGTGTTTTTTATTTGAATCCCCCCCCCTGACAATCCAAACGGTATAGGAGGCTAGGTGGCCAAGCAGGGCGCCGTAGTAATTATCGGTCTTTCTAAGTTCCACAGAATTTTAGTCTCGAAACATTTCGCTAAAAATCCATTGCAAAAATTACAGAACGTGTTAATATTGCCTTGTATGTTCAAAGATGGGTGTTTATTCTATACGCTGGCGAAGTTTTACCGGGAACAAAGCAATTTGAAGGGGATATTTTTCGATTTGAATTGTTCGTGTCGGCTGTTTGAGAACTGGAATCGTTAGCCTTTGCTTTCAATACTATCACCTATGAAGGCAGTCGCAGGCATCGAATGTAAAGTCGCTCAGAAATAAAGGACGATCACATACAATCAAAGTGGGCAAGATGACTTTAAAATATAAAATTCATTACAAATTTTATTGTTTAGTATATTCTCAGAGGTATATTCTATAATGATATATTTACTATACACTGATACACGTCTGGGCCGCCTGTGAGCTTTCTAGAGCATCTTTATACATCTTACAGATTGTTTACCACCTTCTGCCATACTTGAAGCAGCATACAACAATGCAAAAGGCAGTCTAACAAACTTGGAATACCTTACCAAGAGATGCTACTTAATAGAGCAGCAAATGCAAACCGCAAAACTTTACTTTTATATAAATAAAGCGTGTCAATTTTCGACTCATTCTCAACATGCAGGATATGCTGTTACAGCGAGTTAGTTTTTGGTGGCCATGCATGCAAAAGTGGGCCGCTTATTTTGCTTACGAGTTACATGGACGTATAATTATTGCTGTTACATAAACGTTCTGGTGTTTAAGAGCTACATATAGCCGACAAAAAATGTGTGCTCATTATAATCGCCGATCACAGTCTCAAACCTTCAGACAAACTTACAGTATATCCGCATTTCCTATCCCCCCCTTCGGACATCCTAAGACATTTTTCCTCTCCCCCCTTCGGACATCCCAAGACATTTTTCCTCCCTCCCCCTTTGGACAGCAAAAATTTCCTCTGTGGGGGGTATGGATCTTTTCTGGAACGACCCATTCCCGGTGGTTCGCCCAGGGGGGGGGGGGTCAGACTGCATTTTCTGCACTGCGCACGGAAGATCTTCCGCGGGCATTTTTGACAGACACACCCTTTTGGTGCAATTTTGAAAGACATTTTCTTCTGTGCGCGTTTTGCAAATAATGAAGTCTGAGGGGATGATTGCAGTTGGAATCAGGCCTCGAAATTCCCTGAAATCAATCGACGGCAATGGCATTAAAAATTGCCGTCGAACGTAACAGCTGTCTACGGCAATTTTGACAGTTTCCACGGCATTTTTTCAAATTACTGTACATAATAAAACTTTAATTTTATTGTTACCTTGGATTTTTGACAAGCTAGAAAATGTCTACGTATTTCTTTAGTGTGTGTTTTTTCGAAGAAAACTGAGACTAAAATAGCGATTTATGCATGATTTGATCAACATCTGAATTCAAGTATCATAATAGTAATTAAAGGGGAAGTCAAGTCCATAATGTAAACAAACGGTTTGTTTACATTTTGAACTTTTAAAATATGATGTACTGTCGGAATATCTAACAGCATTTTGATTCGCTATGCTTCTAAATGAATATGAAATAAAGTTTATGTTCAGAAAAATTCGAAACATTCGAAATTTGGGCAATTTTCACATTAGAGGTCCTCACATTGTTGTGCGCAGAACCGATGCGCAGAACGGACTTGACTTCCCCTTTAATGGACAGTGAATAGTATAAAAATTGCACTATACGGCAAAAAATTGCCGTCGTTGCCGCAATGATCCACGGCATTTTGTTCTCCCTCTACGGCAATTGCCGCGATAAAATTCGAGCCCTGGTTGGAATTGACTGGTACATAACACATCAAATATGGTGTACAATACAGTACAAAAAAATAAAATTCCACAATTGACATGTTTATGGAAGTGTTTATTTTTGTGTTTAATCTTTTATTTGATATGTTAATCTTGCTGATAAAGCAGTTTTATTAAATCTGTAAAAATTAGATGAATATGATTTCTTGAACATTATTGCAAACCTCGACACACTATTAACTCGTGAAAAAGTTTCCTCGGACAATTTTCACTTGTTAACATCTAAGCCCGGGAAACCGGGATAATATAATCAACGCCTTGATAAATGTACCTGACTTTTGGAAACACCTTGAACGTAGAAATGGTAGAGTAGGTGGACCATTTTGTAGATTGTGTAAAGTTGCAAACGACTTCTGTCTCGAAGCAATTGCACCTAGCATGGTATAATACAATTGTATGAAAAATTATCATAAAAGATAGCAGTAACTTTAAATGTTACAGAATAAAAACTTGATATACTTACCAAGACGACAAAATGATTGCCTCAATATAAACGCCGCCATCTTGAATCGTGCTTTACTACACGGCCTCAAACACCCATTCGCAGGATAAACCCCAAAAAGATGCCTGCGTAGGAGGATAACGTCACAGAACGTCGAATGTCGGCCTGGTTTCGTACATTATCGGAAAATATATGGCTGCTTGAATTCGAATACAAACAAACAGAAACAGAAAATTGCAACAAATTTGGAAAAAATGATCGATTTTGTTTCATGATAACATCTAGTTATGGGTTTAGTTTTAGGAATTGGCTCTGGTCTTTTTGCATTAATAATACTATGGATTGTTGGTCTTATTCTTTGTGTCGTATTTTCAAGGGTTTCTTCTTTGAGGTATGGCTGGTCAGTGCTGTAACAGTAATACAATTTATTTGTAACTAGTTATAGTTACATTACCAAAAACATAACTAGTTACCGATACAAGTTACAGACGCCAAAGTGTAACTAGTTTCAGTCACAAAGTTACAATATATTTTTTGTAACTTACTTCAATATGATCTCCATTCTCCTCTATAATAATTATATATTGAAGAAAGAATGCAATTTATATAGCAGAATTAAAATAAATAAAAAAATAAAATAGATGATCTTGTAATATGTTACAACCATTTTATCAAAATCTCAAGCAATAGTGTCACACAAGAAACTCAGTACTAGATGTTATTGGCCTATTCCCTTGACCAGAAAGATTGGAAATTGTGCACATGAGATTTAAAAAACTGATAGGAAATATATAGAAAGCATCAAAATTGTGCACCCATATAGTGTGTTTACAAGGCGTAAAAAAGAAATACCTGTGGTTCCGGTTTCATATCATGAAAAAATTAGGGTTGGTAGGTCGGAAATAAATTTTTTTTTTGAATATTTTTTTTCATGGTTTTGGCGGTTTTTTGCTGGGCGATTTGCAGTACTTAGAGTCCCAACATCAATATTAACTAGAGATGCGTATTTCCTATGGACGAATTTAGGCAATTTGGTTCAATATTTTATAGTGTGACAACAGACGTCATTTTGGCACGCTGTATGAGCCGCTCGCAACCGGCCAATCGCGTTGAAAAAATAATAGGGTCGGCAGAAAAAAATAGGGTCAGTCGGGAACCGGAACCACAGGTATTTTTTTATGCCCAAGGCTATATGTAGGACCAAAGCCTCTCATGTGGGAATAGTTATGTCCCCCACTCTGCCCCCATAGGACCCCTGGGACCAGACTCTCAACAAAATTGCCCACCCCTGGGTGGTTTTTGCTGGTTCTTTGTAAAATTTAACTAGAAACTAATTATTTGTGAAGAATTTATTAAAATTTGTCTGAAAATCTCAAAACAAAATAACACATGATGTGGTCGGCACTACTTCATTTTATCCATCTGTTTGTAACAGTTGGTGTGCATTCCCCCAGGTGTTGCCCAGGGACAGGATGGTAATGTATTACTACTGACAGTATCTGCACATGCTGGAATTCCTCAGGGCTTGATGCCAAATTGGCCTGGAATTCTTAGCATTCCATGCAAAATTGGACTGGAATATTCAGGCCAGGGTAAGGTATATATTTGTGCTTGGAATGCCTCAAGGGTAAGGCATTTAAGCTTGGAATTTCTCAGAGTTTTAAGGTACTACTATTTCAGGGACTGAAGAAGTGGGGGTGCTGGACTGAAGCTTCCCTCCTATCCCGATACAAGTGTGTAAAGATTAGTAAAGCAGTAATCAGTAATAGAGTGATACAAAGGATATATGCATTCCGCCTATATTGAAAGTTCCCCATAACCAACTGCATGAATGATCGATATCCATTGGACATATTCCATTTCCAGATCACCAAAACAAAAATCAAAATCAACAGGATGTGCTTAATAAATATGCCATGAATTGTGTTATGCGAACTCATTTATTTTTCTTTTTTTCAGTCATGTGTATACTATTTTTAATTCTCTACTAAATAAATGTCAAATACAGTAGACATGTGTTTTCAGACATATATCTGCCTGTCATCAGGAGCTACACATGATTAATGGTCACTTTATTAACAAAAGTATTGTGGAAAAAAGGAATTATACCAAATGGTTTTCCGTGCAGGCCGGATAGCGTCATGCACGCAGGATGTTGATAGACTTTCGGAAAGTGTAATATGCGACCTATACTTTGGAATTGTACAGTAATAGAGAAAGGTGGTTGGGCTGAGAAGGGTTGGAAAATGGAAGTTGATTAAAACCTTATGTCAGTTGGCCAGTTTCATATTCCATGCTGGTTATTACCAAGAACAACTGTATATTGACGTTCACCATCATATGAAGGTTTCGTTAAAAAGAAATAAATGTAGAAGATGTAGATTTTACAGCAACATCTTGACAATTCCACTATGTACTGTACGCTTGTAGATTAATTATAATACATGTACACTGTAGTTTAAATGTATAATTTAATTAACTGCCCAAGTATGGTAAAGTATAGCCAGATAACTATGCCCTACATGTTTTTTTTTTAGAAATGGAGTGGTTGGAGTAGGAATCCTGGTGATAGGTGTGACGGTCATTTTGATTTTTTATCCACGAGAGTCAGACGACGGTTCTGGGAAAACATCAAAACAGGTAAACTTTGACTCTAAACAGATACCATTTACTTATTAAAGCATTCAATTATCTCTTCTTTTTGTTTAGCCCGTAGACAACCTTTCTGTATTACGTACGACCATATTTGTGTTTGCATGTCTATTTGCTGTCGTGTCCATGGTGCTTATGCTAGTATTTCACTGGATGGAACCTCAATATGCACCTGCATTGCTAGCAAGAAAGAAATATACATTCTAAATATTTTTGTGGAAATTTTTGAATACTACCTGTGCAAGGTAGGGAGATAATGGAATGGGAAATTGGGAATATCAAATATACATCGACACTTGGTTAGTTAAAGATACGAGGATTCACCATGCTGTGCATACCATGAAAACATAATCAGACAATTACTCCTGGTGCCGTAATAGAAGACGAAATGAAACCATATGTCAGTACCGCTGAAGACAACCCAAGTGATAGACAACATGCCATACAGATGAGGTCACGTACATGACATACATATGTAGATGAGGCATAATATTAATATATCAGATTCAGTTGTGATATGTACAACGCTTATAACCTCGATCATAACAGGCTCAAATCACTCTTATCTAGTGACACATGTGTCGAGCTGTTAATCAGTCGGTATTTCACCTTTGCAAGTTGGGATGGTTGAATACTGTATAGGAAGACCAGCAAGTTATACTTAGTCTATTATTCTTACACTTGATGGTTGCAAATAGTGTATTTAGGCTATTTAGCAATATAAATACAAAATTATACAACTTAAATAAAAGTGATCTCAACTATCTAAGTTTCCAAATAAATTGTAATATTACAGAATAACAATTCAGGGTTCATGTTCACTCATGTTTTTTCTTTCAGGTTGCCAATGCCCGAGTCCTCCCTTAAATTTCATATATAACACTAGCCGGCTCTTCTGGCTATCTCGTCTCTACCATAGTATTTGCTAGCCTGATAACAATACATGTATAAATCTCTTTTAGTATTCATTAGGTTTCGCATGCAAGTAATATTCTACATACTGCCAGATACTGGCATCTGGAAAAGTTAACTAAATGAAACTAGCTTCTATGAGCTTATCTTATCACATAACATCTATCGAATGCGGTTTTGCCAATAACAAAATATGGTATAATCAAAATCATTTCATTTTGATGCAAACATGCAAGGTCACCAATGGGAGTTACATATGGCCGTAAGGGTATTACAAGAATTTGGGATATGAAGAGCATTTCCCCCGTTTTATCAAGAAATATCAAAAGTGTTTACACTAGGTTATCAAGCTTTCACCGAATGCTACCCGGAAAAAGAATATATAACAATATTGCCGCATTTTCATACCTGAGAACAGCATCAGCTTGAAATCGGTCACATGCATGTATACATTTGGACGTGTGGGACATTTGAACTTACTGAAGAATTTACCTCGCTTCTACCACCAACTTGGAACTTATATACTCGAATTCCACCGCAGAGACAATATATATAGTTTGTCGGTTAATAAGCACATGCAATATTGCAAGTACATACAAGTAATTGGGATCTGCTTGTGCTTGTGCTTGTGCTTGTGCCTGTGTTCTTATCTGTATTGTTTGTGTCTGCGTCTATGGTGTCACTTGTACAAACGTATTTGCGTGGAGAGAAATTGATGAAATAACTGAATAAAAAGGGGACGATTTCAAGTACCTAGCTAGCAGCAAATATTACTCTTAGTGACAATATTAATTCGTTATCAATTCTTGTTTTCTTTTTGTTTGAGAAGAATTGAATTCTCTTTTTGTTTGAGAAGAATTGAATATTTTTCCTGAACAGGCGTCTTAGGGGCTGTTTACATGTTGGAAAGCGGGGTGATTTTGATGTATTGAAATAAGTCACTAGGCTAAGCGAAAGTTCAAATGCTGGTAGTGGTAAATCAAATGTTGTAGAGAAGATCTTTAGTTCAAGAAGATTTGCTGCTTGAACAACCTTTCGTTTACAGTTACTATATAATCTATATCCAGAAAGTAATAGTTTTTTCTGAATCGTGCACCGTAACTTATTTCAATGCATCAAAATAATCCTGGCTCACGTGTCCTGGTAGCCTGCGTAGCAGTCGCTTTATTTTATTGTATGTTTTGAGGATTTTTGAATAAATAGTGGCGAGTTAGAAAAATCCTCAAAACCTACAATAAAATAAAGCGACTGCTACGCAGGCTAGTGTCCTGGCAAAGCGGGATCATATAAACAGCCCCCAATTCGGCAAATTGTGCATCCCGCCTTTGATCCCTTGGGGGTAAGGCAGCACTTTCCCTGCGATAGTAACTCATAGTTAGTAAAAGTTGGGATGGAGGGAGTTCAAACTTGCGCTTAAGATATGATCCGTACACTTTGCGTGCCAAACAGCTAATGACCACCAGTTAGCGGCACCCAACTTCCGGATCACGTGTGGTTCACTATATATAGCTATTAACTTTGGTTAATACAGCAAATTCAAAAAAGGTTGTCCTTTGCGAACCTTAAACTCTAAATCGTAAACCTTTATGACCCTAAGCGCGCAAAGCTCAATGGGAGCGCAAGTTTCAAGCTTAGTAGTTGAATATTGCAGCTATTTGTGAATGCATTGTTCGCGTAAGGAGAGTTTAACACCGGTATCGAAGCCATGGGCCCCATATATGATTTCTAAACTGATTAAAGGTGATCTACAGTCCGTATGTAAACAAAGCCTTTGTTTACATTTTTGTGTCCAAAATATTGAGCTTTATTCGACAACTATTTATATTTTCAAGCTTCTAGAGTATAATAAATAATCAAGAAACAACAATTAGGCTTTTCAAGAACTCAAAACATAGTTAAACTGTTTGTATCATAAAAAGTGGGCTCATTTGTGCACATGCGCAGATCGGACTGTAGATCACCTTTAAACGATGCTCTCATTATGCTTTGCACGCTTAGAGTTTAAGGTTTAGAGTCAGTAAGGTTTGCAAAGGACAACTTTTTCAATTAGCTGTAGCTATACAACTTCATTAATACCACGACGTACTACCACAACATCGGTGGATCTACATAGACATAGTACATTCTATTTTTAGTTACCTATTCCTTTAACTGTAAAACCCCCATTTGAGCCGTCACCTCGAAATAAAAATATGCGCCACTTATAGGTGATACTAAATTTCATGCACTTACACAAATAAAGAAAATAGGCGGGCTTACATTTACCACTGTAGCCTGAGTATCAGCTAGCTGGTAGAATTACTTATACTTACCGTGTGGTGTTTGCGAAAGGTTTTTCGGCGTTCAAAATTTGGAGTATATTCAGTCTAGTTCAGTACTGATTTGTATGGACGATCTAAACATATTCATGTATACTCAAAGTATAACCGTGCATGTAATGATGCAAGGCTAGCTGGTTCGCAACCTTGGCGAGAACTTGGAATGTTGCCTTACTAATGCTTGCTTTCGGAGTGAGGTGAAAATAAATTCAGAGCATGCATGCATGTGTCTGAGAACTTACTCAAGATAGGGCCAAGGGAGACGCGTACGAAAATATAAATGTTAACAACACTTTTGTCTCGTATCATACTCGCAATGGCTTTTTATAAATTGGTTTTTGTCGAAGTTTTTGTCTTCGGGTAAGCTTGTGAACTTGTCAGTATCACTCTCAAAGGGCTTTACTGCATGCAGACTATTCAAAAGTCAGCCGTTTGACAGACTATAAGAACTGCGTATACAGTAATTCAGTATAGTAAGAGCTTAGTAGTTTTGTACCATAGGCTATAGAGGTCGATTTCGAGCAAGACTACACTAATCCTTACCCATTGATAAGTTAAATAGGGAGATTTCTCTGTCAATTGGTCAAATGAAATGATGAAAACAATGCTGCCCTCTGTGGCTTTATAAATAGGGAGCGTAAAATACCTCTCATCGCGAATATTTGTTGACGGAAGCGGCTATCATTTGTCTACTAATGTTTCGTGTGACCTGCCTTTCATGTTGGGGGTGGCCTTCTTCTACATTTCAGGAAGTGATCGCAGTAAGAAATTTGGCAGCCGTTCAAAATAGTTGAGGAAAATTGTAAGTGCCAAGAATAGCGCCTAAATCAAATGAAATGTCTTGATTTTCACTCTCCTGAGAACTGTGTAGGGCCGAGAGAAACGTACTTTCAAGTAGGAAAGGTCCGTCACCAGAGAGATCATCACCTTTTTACTGATTATACTTAATCTTTTATATAGGCTATAGTCGCTAGCGAACTGATCATCTATCAGAATTTAACATATTTTGGCAGCGTCGGATTACAAAAGTTGGGCAAGTTGATGTTTCAACTGTATTTGTTATGCCGGTCATGTCAGGGAATCTCCCGAGGGTACGCCTTTTTAATGACATATTGAGCTTGAGTCTAATCTCCATCATCCAGGCTGCCCATCCTCTTCTGATAGTATCAGGAAGTCTTGCCATGTCTGATTCAGTGATTGGAAATTTAATAAAAACTTTGTTTGAATTACTGTGGCTATCTGCGGTATACAGATTACTTTTCTATATTAATAAACTCAATGTTATGTTGACTTTACCAACCATATTATCTGTCTGGCACTTCGCCTAACTGACCTGTCTATCCGAATGAAATGGAAATTGTATCAATATAAAACTTGCACCTATTAACACACTGTACACTAGACCAAATCCATGATAATGGTCCTGTAAAAAAGTTCGATTAAGCTCCAAACTTTAAAAAAAATCTTGCAAAGAAAATTTCTCCTCCCCCTCCCAGGATGGTCCACCCCTAAAAAGCCTCTAGTAAATTCACAATTTACTGACACTGCTTTGTAGTGGCTCTCATATCATCCACCCGATAATGGGTGCGGTATGTGTTACAAGATCAGATGTTACTCTTGACCCTTGAGGGGGTAACGACAGCAGCCATCTTTTGACACGTCCCTCCTTTTGTGTTTAATTACAGGAACTTCCTGTGATTGGCTTAAACATTTGTCTTCATCATTTTCATAAATAAATAGAAACGGGCCTCACCTTACCTGACTTTGATAGTGGTATTAGCCAGTGCGCAATCTTTCCATTTACGCGTTCAGATTTCGTTTCTCCTCAAAGAGGAGAACTCTGTGATATTCCAAGAGGAACACTGAATCGTTCGTCGCCTGATTATTAAAAGAATTTCTGCTTTCACGGATTACTACGCTTAATTTCTTCTATTGAAGCACTTGATCTGACCGCAGAGTGAAAGATTAAAGGCCATCTAGGGAAAAGACGAAAGAAGGAGACTTTTAATCTCAAGGTAAACAAGTTATTTGAATTTACGTCATTATAAAGCCGGCCAAATTGAATTGGTAACATATTCACACAAATTATGACATTATAGACAACGTTAGTCTTCAAATGCAGGGACTCTCGAGTATCCATTTCGAAATTACAGATTGCCGCACACGTTTTAGGGGTCACTGTCGAGATACAAGAATCGTGTGTAATATTTACTTTAACTATTAAAGCATGCATGTTTTCAGTAATGATTATCTGTGCATGAAAACATGGGGTATTTTTTGAATGAGGTATGTTGGATTAGAAAAAAATTACCCAAGAAAGCCGTAGAAGTGAGTTAATACCTATTTAATACTAGTTTCGATTGTGTAGCTTGCCGCATTGTGTTGGCCTTTTCATAGTGAAAAAATGATTTTCGCACAAGCATGGTTAAAGAGTAGTTTTGTTGAAATGTACGTTTTGGTCAATACCCTTATTGTTTTAGGCATATTACTAAGGAAGCTGTGTGAATGATGCATTTGTTTTGGCTTACAATCACCGCCATTCTTGCGACGTCTGGTGCGGTAAGTCAATGTTCTAATCAGTAGACCACAGGACCCTGCAAGCTTTCTGCCCGGGATTCCAATGCATCTAATTCTTCGCATTACAAGCTGATTTGCAAATCGGCGCAAAGTAAACATTGACGCGAACGTTTACGGAAGCGCTCTTGCATGCATTTAGTCCGTAAAATATACGTTTTGCAGGAAAACTCGCGCGGATATAAATTGGCTTAAAACTAGTGCCCGTTTTGGTTGGAAAGCGTATTTTTTCCAAGTAACTCTCTTGACCTTTAATTAACCTTTATCGAATGCATGCATCCGGAGATCGACATTAATGCTGTTTTTTTGAATGTCTCTAGATACTTTAATTTAGATATAGGCCCATTTCAAGCTTTGATTGTTTGCAATTTAATCTTTTGACTTAATGACCAGAGGGAATTTAATAGCATAAGTGAAAAGTCAATAAATTTTAGTTCATTTCATAATCACCTTATTATATTATATAAATATGAGATTAACAAAGGGCAATGCTGTGATCACATGCGAAACAGGATTTTTTCTTTTCATGCAATCAATAGGATTTCCATATGGTACTTCATTATCAAATACGAGGGTCCTCAAGGGGTAAAATGGGAACTGGGATTTGTCTATTAACTGGGAAGATGGGATTTGGATTACTGGGAATCCCAAGCATGCACAAACGTGGGAATGGGAAAAACCATACCATTATAAAGACGTCACAGTTGTATAGTTGGGTATTTTAGAGCTTAAATAATATAACTTCAAGGAAAACTACTAAGCAACTTTTGATTGAGAGTTTTGTAAAAAATATCCTGGAACACTGACGTATTCTGCCATTTTCCGGCTTGAGGAAAGAGACTTAAGTAG